GTGCTGTGGCCGATCGCATCTCGGTTCCTCTCGTCTGGCCTCTTTGACGCGGCGTACCAGTCCGGCCCAGACGATCTCAATTGTGAATCCCGTATACAATGCCATTTGCAAGCCAGTCCTGTCTGACCCACATTCGTACCCATCAAGGCGGACATTTATTGATACCCTGACGATGACCGAAAACATCCCGTTATATACCGCCACCTACAGGCCAGTCTTGCTCGCTTTTTTTTCTGTTATTATTTTTAAAGAGGGGTTTTTTCTCCTGTAAAATTAATGCAATCATTTTTAACTTTTTCCGAGGAGTTTTTTTTACCCCTCAATCTTCATGTTTCTCAATGGACTTCTAATTCAGAAACTATGAATTGCATTTTGTAAAGATTCAGCCTACCTCGTCTAAAACTCGCATGCAATTCTATTTTAACTTGCTTTGATGGGACCCCGACGGGTCTTTAATAAAAATTATCTATCTATCTATCTATCTATCTTTAGTGGAAAGCAGCTCGAGTCAGCCTGGGCCGCATACGGGGTCGTGTGTTGATATCAATCTAGGACTTTTGAGAATGCGAAGACAGGAGAAAGGATGAGAGGAAATGTAAAACGAAGGGAGGGAAGGGAGTGTAGTCAAGAGAATAGAGGAAAGGCAGTGAGGAGTGAAGGGAGGGAGGTGGCGAAGGTGAGAGAAGCGGGAATGGGAGCATAATCGCATGGTTTATTAATACACTACACAGAGCATAGATTCAGGGAGCCTTGGACGAGAGTTGAACGTCACTTAAATACCGCGAGGAGCAGTCAAAACTTGCGTAGTGCGATTTACCAACTACGCATGAGAGAACCCTAACTGGACACCCCTCAATCCCATATATATATTTATAGAGAGAGAGCAGCAGGAAGGGACGGCAGACTGATATATTACTGTTTCAGGCTTATTTTGCTTTCATTCAGCCAGTCATAGCATTGACCTGCAGCTGAGGCTAGAAACCCAAACATGCACTTTCACACGACGCAATTGGTCCACAGACGGGTTCCAGCAGATGGGTCGTAAGCACTTCATCAAGTTAACGTCCATCAGTTCCTCGCCACCTGTCATTCTCTATCGCTGCTGACGGGGTATTTATTCACTCAGGAATGGACGAACAGTGACCGTTTGGTTTCCCGGAGCAAACAGGCTTCGTATGGCTGATAGAGATCGCGAACAGGCGACCACCTACCAGGCCGACATCGACCAGGTTATGATAGCACATACATTTATGCAGAATGGCAGTACCGACAAAGACAAGGGAGATTGGAAGGGCCATTTTTGCTTATTACCATCGTCAGCCAGTTATACCCATTTCCAAAGTCTGGAAGGTCTGGCGCTCGATCACGCGAACTGTTGGTTAGAAGTCCAACGCCTTTAATCACTGGGCTACGGGTTTGTTGTCCTGGCGTTCTGCGATTGAGTAGAGGGGTGCTCACTGATCTTCTTTACTGTGTTTATTTATGACGTAGGGAGTTAAACTTCGCAAACCAAATGTTCCTGAACTGATGTTAATTGGTGATCCAAAATCGCCTGGCAGGTTTTTCCTAACAAATGCATGCCTTGAACCAAAGAAGAGTGAACGTTTATATCTGGAGGCCGAGGGAATTATTTTATACGGACAACTATCGGGGCTTAGGGCTCGAAGGGATGGAGATTTGGACCACAATTAATTCGAATAAGGTAAAAAAATCCGGATTCGGGCTTCTGGGACCGACATCGAATTTATTCATTTATTCGATTTTAGGTTGGCTTTTTCGACATCTTTTCTGTTTTTCCGACTCCCTCCGTCTCTTTGACGTTGGCGGCTATGGTGGCGTTTGAGATGTAATAATCAGCGTAGTTCTCTGTTACACTCCTCCCCAATTTTACTTCTCTACGTACCTGTTTATGCATATCCGACCGTTTACGTAGTTGTGTTTGTCATCTGCCTGCTGTTCGTCATCCTCTTTATCAAACTTTTCTGATATAATAATGATTTATTTAATGCCAGTTTACAGGCATTGATGGAGTATACGTATGGTCGAAATGTAGCCTCACTTTCCAGCAGGGCCTATCGCGTGCATACCAAGTTGCCAGACTGGTCTCTTTGCAAATAGCTATTGGCGAATTGAAGCTGAGCAGTTTTTTAATTTTAAATTATTTGAACGAGATAAATGAGTCGGTAGGGATCAACTACTACTCTTTCTTTAATTATATTTTCTAGGTTGGGAGGACTGGTTTTCTAGTTCTAGGCGAATGGATTTCCTCCGTTTTTCATCCTCCCATCCACAGGCGGATTGTCCGAGACAATCCGACATTGCATGAAGTAGGGTTCAACGGCTGACGCGATATAACATCTCCCTTGACGTGTGCGACACGCCTGCACGGCAGTGGTCATTGACTCAGATGGACTTGTCTTAGCCCTATCATTGCATAACATTAGTCGATATAACCCCAGCTTGATCGACTGCGAAAACGCGATAGCCGGTCAGGGGTATTACATGGCGTAACGTCCCAAGAATTGTATAGGATTGTTTGAGTGAAGAGACACGTTTGGTGCGCGGACCTGGGATGGGGAATGCATTAGTGCCTGTCCGTAAAAACGGCCGGTGCTCTTAAATAAATTAAATAAATAAATTTTAATTTAATGCCAGTTTACAGGCATTGTCAAGGGAAGCGATTAAACACAAATCCGACCGGCAGTGAAAAAAAACTCCTGAGCTTAAGGCATAAAAATATAGTTGATGGTGGTTTTTGTGGTTTGGAGGGCTCAGGAGAAAAAAACTGTCGGCGGTGGTAGAATATCGGCCGTCAAGAAGGGGGGAGGTTGCACGGTATCGGAGATTTTCGGACGTCAAATTCCTTTCATGAAGTTGGGGATAGTCAAAGTAGAGGCGTCGAGGAACAGCTGGTGAGACCGGCCATAGTGTTCAGAGACCACAAACGCCATCGCTACGGTACAGTCGATCAGTAGATTCAGCACCCAAAATTTGTGGGAGCTTTGCTGAATGCAAAAATCGAGTAATAGTTCTCTTAAATAAAGTAAAATTTTGCAGAGTTTTCACACTCATGGGTAGTTTATTCCAAATAGCAATTGCATTTACAGAAAAGAACCGACGATATTTAACAGTACGTGCCAGAGGCAGAAATAAGAAGACCTCACGGTGACTGTTACGTCGTGGGTGGATATGATGTCTTAAAGAGGTGAGCGGGTTAAATGTGTGATTATATAAGAGTTTAAATAGCAAAAATAGTCCCTTTTGTAATCTACGGAACCATAAAGGATCGAGGCCTGTAAGCCGGCAACGTTCTTGGTAAGACAAATGTCGGTGTTCCGGGGTTAAAATTCTCTTAGTAAAAAAGTGTTGAACGGATTCTATCTTCTTCCGCTCAGTAGCACGCATGAGGCTAAATGAAAACGAACAGTATTCCAGACCAGGTCTAACGTACATGTTGAAAAGGCGCATTCTAATGTCCCTAGTTTTAAAATTTCGGAGGATAAACCCGGTCGTTCTACGTGCTTTGGAGACTATCAAGGCACAGTGCTCCGAGAGATTGAGACTCTTGGAGTATGATACGCCCAAATCCTTTATTACCCCTGGCACATTTATTGCGTGACCTTCAATACTTAGTTGAGGTTGGCGGTCGTCGCCAACCACCATGACTGAGCACTTGTGCCAGGAAAGAGAAAGGCGCCATGTGCGGCACCACTGGGCGAAAGCCTGTAGATCGCTCTTTAGGAGCTCAAGCACGATGTCATGATCTGCCCGCTTATATCGATATGCAACTTTAAGATCTTCGGCATACATGAAAGGCTTACCGTTCTGAAATAAATCGCTCGCTCTACCGCCGGCCCCCTCCCAGCAACGTTCCGTAACGCTTGCATCGCATTCTCTCATCCTCTCAACATCGTCACCTCCTTCGGCCCTCCCCTGCAATCGCCCACAGCGCTGATTCCCCCAGTGGTTAATTAACTGGCATGTCATTGTCGCCTCACCATCCAGACAGATTATACCCTTGTATGTCGTCCCGTTTGTACAATTGACTACTATTATATGTAATCCCAGTTTTCATCTCTTCCCATTATATCATATTGCCTGCCTAATATTTTTTTCTTGCCCTGCCGATGGATGAGTATTGCGACATGATAACCGCTCTATCCAGATCAATCTTGGTGGGGACCTATTTCCAGTGCTTCGCCACCTCGTCGGCCGCTACAATGCAGCCCACTTCTTTACTCTCGAGTATAGAATTAGAAAGTGGAGTGTAATTGGGTGGAAAAATTGTCATCTACGTACTTAGAATTTAATTCGATCCCTGAACCGACGCGGGAGTCAGAATTGGTGGGGGAAAAGAGTCCCCATATACCCCGGACTTCGCCGGCCGTCTACGGAAGTAGCATAGATTATTCTTTGGACTCGCATATTGCTTAGATTAACCACTTTTTCTGATTACTGCTAATTATATCCAGTTAGAAAGCGCCAATGGTCCTTAAACCCAGGCTACTAAGTCATAAAGCCTTCAACTGATCGGCCACTTAAATCTCTAGATGCACCTAAGATTTTCTGCGTCCGATTCCGTCTTAATGCCTAAGTAAATGCTTACAGCGCGTTATCGGATTTTATGTGTCAGCAGGAATGGACTAAGGATCCTGAGCAAATTGGACTTTCAATTCTTGTAGTGACTGCCTATGACCTAAGACATAAGTGTCCTACAAACTCAGGATATTTAAAAAGGGCACAATGTGATTACGCGCAAGACTAGTGACACGCGCATTTGTGTCAACCTCTGATGCCTTCTTTGAAACTGTTTAGGCGGACTTGGAAGTATGCCGAAGATGATTTTGTGTCTTCCAGTCTTGTGCAGTCAATTATTCGTATCGCCTTGTGAGTAATTATTTAACTAATTAACGATTTCAAAGGGTCCTTGCAGCAGGTATTACTTACTTCGATGGGGAAAATGCCCCAGTATCGAACGAAAAAGTTAATTTTTCTTAATGATTTCACCCTTCCTTACTTTAGGTAACAATTATTGTGAGCGTGGCGATGGCGTTTTGTATACTTGAGATTATTCTATTTCTCACCATGGCGGGTATAAGTGCTCAGGGCGGCGTGTTGGAAGTTAGAAAGCGTCGTCCGCTTCCGTTCTTTATTGCCGCGCATTTAATTGCATTGCCAATCGAATTAATTTTATACTGTTTGTCGATATGGGCGACGGTTGAATATGATAAAGCTCAAGTAAGTATACTTTCTACAGAAAAAATATAGTTTTTCTGTAGAAAGGGTCTCATTTAAAATGAATCTGTTTTTATAAAAGTAATTGCTACGCATACATTTCGGAAAATTAATGCGCCTTATTTACGAGGAAATAATTGTCCTATCCCTCTCCAGATTTTAAGGTGTTTTAAAAGTGCTGTTTATCCTCTCGGGCTAGGCAGAAAACTCGTTTTTTGATATGCAGTCTTGTGCACCCCAATAAACTAGTCTAATATTCGTTGTCTTGACTTTTAGAAAACCTACCTGTTTTTTTAAAATATATTATATGCTTCATAACACGAAAAAATAGTTGGGAGGACAACGGAAGCGGTATTTTTGGGTGAGCTCGCGTCAAACGGAAATTATATAATATGATTTATGAAAAATACCAAGAAATAAGCGCGGCAGTACCAAGTGCCGTATTTTGCTTATCTAAGTTTCATCAAAGTTTACAAAATGTCAAGTAGAAAATTGAGTTCGAATAATCTTCTGAAGTGGCGATCGACAGAATGTTTTGTGATTAGTGGCAGCCGAGCTTCTAATGGGTTTATTAATTCGAAGTCCCTTCAGGGGACATTTCCGCAAAAACGTCAGTGTATGCAGCTGTCTCATAATTTACACTAAAGATAAAAACGTGCATACGACCAAAAGATGAAATATGCTGTCGCTGGTGGGTTGCACGATCATTGTAAGTATTAAGTAAGATTACGCGTAATCGCGATGCAATTTTACTGGTTTTAGAACTAATCCAACAAACGTAGAAAGCTAACGAGGTTTAACGGTGACATTAGTTTTAATCTTGTCTGTTTGTAGTCGTGTTTCTGATGCCTACCGTGTATGGTAAAGTAAGCTAGAATGTTTCCTTTGAGGTAACATATCTGATGCAGATAGATCTGATGCTTTTTTTACACTAAATTACTGCGGACACATCGAGAGTCTTATTATCTCTTTTTGTAATACAGTGAGAAACATGCAATTTCCAATCCCCTTGAAGAAGAAAGTATGAAATATTTCAACCAAAATGTGCTTCTTTTCTTCTCTTTAGCCCTCCGCCAAACCTAACTCCGTTGGGGTCATTTGCTGGTGCTCAATACTAATGTTTATAATCTTCTTCGAAGTAATTGACTGGATCAGGCATTTTGACAAAAACGGGTCACTGAAATACAAATTTTATCAGACATTTGTCTATGGAAAAAATGAGGATTTGCCAGAGGAAAAGAAGAAAGTGCTTGTTGAAAAGTTTTGGAAGTTATCAAAGTCCAAATGGACAAAGTTCGTTCGGCGAAGAATAACAGACTTTAAGCCTACAGATCATGATGGGAAAGAAGAAGCTGTTAACGAAGTGGCGCTGACGTTGGCAGATGTTTTCATGGTACGCGTATGCGAGCTAATGTTTATAGGATATCTTAGGAAAACGACCGTAATTTTCCTTTTTAAATAGTTTTTGCTCAGAGACAGCCTTTTTTCAAAAAATGCACATAAAATAAGCAGCTATCTCACTTGAATGTCTAGTAAAAAGTATCCGTTATTCTGAATAATATAGTCAGCTTTGGACGTTTGCTATAACTGTGCTTACCTTGTTTGCATTCGTATATGTAAGCTCTTTAATGAGCCTTAACTTTTGACTGTCTTAATAAGCTGTCCTCTGCTTTACGCGTTTGTACACTGAACGTTTCCTCTCTCTCTGCAAGAATTTAGATTTAACGTCTACGGATGCGCTGTTGGGCTTAACCCTTCTTCGTTGGCAGACTACAGAATGGGTTGGTGGAAAAACGGAACTAGATCCGGAAATTCTCTTACACACAACAGACCCGGCGACCATGGATGTCGCAGAAAAGGTATTATCCAAATTTGCTTAAGTGAGCAGTAACAGTCAAGCACTTCGTCAAAGGAGAATATCTGTAGTACCATTTTAACAGTTATTTCTAGTTTTTTCCTAAAACTACTGCTGCAATGTTTCATGTTTAATTGTACGCATTCTGTAATCGAACCCTTCGGTTAGCTCAAGCAAATCGAAAATTGTTACCTTTTGTCGTATAAGCCCATTTGTGTGTAGAATGCACGTGCCTAACTTTCGTCAATTCTCAATTTCCAATCACTAGTTTATCTGTTTGCTGTTTCGGCGATCTGAATAATCAGAGGCGAACTTTTGTACACTTCGCAATTTCAGAAAAAAAAACATTCACAAGCATGATGATATGATTTATTTATAACTTTATGGTTTACCAATTTATTTGGTCAGCTCTCCTAGGTCTGATATTCTTTAATCACATTTCCGAGAATTCTGTTTTGTTTTTCAACGGTTACACGGAGGAGTTGTTCGAAATAGTTGTTGACCCGTAAATACAATTGGCTATTAATAGGTATTTATAGAGGCTATTCGTCTTTTCCTAGACTTGCAACTTTCCAGCCGTTCAAGTCTGCGCCAGTCGGTTAACAGAGGCTCATTTCTTTTCAAAATTCCAAAAATGAAATGCATTCAGATAACCATAAAGTTTACTTTCCTTATTGCGCTTTAGTTAAATGTGAAATGATACGATTTGTTTGTCAGATCTATTTTTCATGTGATATACGCACAACAACAGAGCCGATTCTAGGGAAATGAATGAAATGAATGTGTACGCACATTATTGCTCAGGGAGTTAAAATATTATAGTATGAGTAGAGTCGGTTTGCAAGGGGTTTTGAAAAATATTTGTCGTTGAACGTCAATGCATTGTGTTTTATGCGATGAACTTTAGTTGTCATACGTGCAACAAATATATCTAATTTGAAAAAATGCCAGTACCTTGCGAAAATCTAGACATTTAAAATTTTAAAGTACGAAAATGCAGTAAATACCTATTCAATCAAGACTACGCGCACACAAGTCTACTGGCTTTTCGTAGCAAACAAACTGTCGTTAGATTGCAGTACGTGACATGTTTGCACCGTTTCCGTAAGTTAAAATATCACTTCTGTAACCAAGCTGAATTTTATGAAGATAACCAACTTGAGATAATACGAGAGGCTCATCCTTCTGCTCTGATTTCGAGTTCCATATTCCAATAGTAAATGGATTATTGGAGGGTTGCAATCCGTTAGACACAGTTAGGCCTATATTTTCTCGAGTCAGGATTATGATACATCCCCAACTATAAATACGGAACCCTACTGAAATCCAATTCTTTGCCAGACGGAACTTGCCTCGCGCAGCGAACGAGCACAAAAGAAGCTTTTTAGTAAAAGTGAGTGTAAAAAAATAGTTGGGTTTCTGTTTTGCGCGGCTCCGGTGGTGAGCTCGCCTGCAAGCTATTGTGCCGGCCAGTCTGACCTGATCCTTCTGATCTGTTTAGATGGACAAAAATGTTGAGGAATCGCCCACTGAGAACCTAAGCAAGCACTGGCTGCACATTGATCGCCTCCAACAATATGCACATTTCGTGAACGGTTCATACGGTTGGCTCTACTATTGCTTGGACAGTGGTTTTAACTGCACATCCCTCAACCGCCTCTGCAGCAAATTGTCGTCCAAGTAAGTTGAACCCGCCGAATTAATGCCATCCAAGCGCTTTCGATCGCCTAGATCACCCCCAGTCCAAACACTTCCAAACATATAAATGTAATCAATCTTTCGGAACCTCATTTTTAGAAAAACAACAACCTGACTCGTTATTCATGTCGTTTTAATAGGAGATGGAGTATGTTCATATATGATATTACAGACGATAAAAGTTGAAAAACTGAAAGCTGAGCTCAGTTCTAGAAGTCGTTGTAACTATGCACGGACTCTAGGCAGTTATTTTCACAAATTTTCCCTCTTGAGACGCGTGTGTCAGGCAGTACACGGCTGTCACTAAAAGACAACTGAACTATGTAGTTTGTTCAAGTGTTCCTTGGTAGCCTACTCTAGTTGAAAGTGATTGCATTTTTCGGCGGAATACTGCCAACGTGTCATTACCGAGAGTTGCCACTCTCCGTAATGAGCCTCAATGTTGCGAATACGTAGACTACGTACTACACAGAATTCAGATGAATAGCATTAATGATATTCTCAACATCCATCAGGGATTTTGGGAACAAACAAAATTAGGCCTGATTAAGTGCCACAACTACACAAAATCACTGAAAGTCGCTGCCTCTTCTGCGCACGAATGTCTTTTCGTTCCAGGAATAAGAAGACAGTGGACAAACAACGTAACCTAGAGGAGGGCATCGAAGGCCCCGGGGGTTGTTTGTGCGCGGGCAGGAACGCATATCTGGCGGCTTTCTTGGAGATGACTGGCCTAGAACCACACAATATCCTCATCTTCGAAATCGCTAACACCGTCAGTTCTGGTATTATTTTTGCTTCTTGCTGTCGTAGTATTAATTTCTCGCCCAGCATGCAAAAGCGTATATCAACTACTGATACAAGAAATTTCCGGCAAAGTTTAAGTGAACAAGCTGATTTCGGAGGAATATCGCTTAGCGGATATAATACCGAGCCGCAACCCGGTGGTTACACATTTGAATTACTGGGCTACAGGGGCCGTAATTATGTTTTCCTTTGTTTGATCGGAAATGACCGACTGTCAGTGTAAACCGGTCCATAAATTAGAGTTCCAGTCTTTTTCTCGACCCTAGAGTATTTGCGTTCGAAAACTTATCCGCGTTCTGCGATGCACCAGTCATTAGAGTGATGTTCTTCGCAACGTATATTAATAACCCAAATGACTGTCCCAAAGCCATGCATATGGTATTTTTTAAAAGATGATGAGATAATAGGGTTCTTTCGACCGGAATTCGTTCTAGTGGGGTCCACCTCTAAAATGCAATTCGTGGAAATATACTAATTCACATCTAACGAGCCTCCGTTTTCGTTTTTTGGTGTTGTCTTTCCTTTATTGAACTTACTGACACTCGAGTTCTGTTTATCATATTTTATGATGGAGAGCATAAACCAAACTCCTTATAGCTAGTACTGTAGCGAAATAAGTTAATCTTGCCACCTACGGTCATTGCATTTAGGTTTTTTATTTTGTTTGACTAGCACCAGGAGCTAAAATGGCGGTTGACGCTGACAGGTTAATTGGTTAAGACCTGTACACAAAAATGTAGGCCTTATGTAAACTCCCATATCTGAAATCACACCACTTTTCAATAGATATTTAAATGTAAACTTTGCCAAAGAATTATTTTCAAAGATTATTCTTTTTGCGCTTTCGTATTGACTTAGTGTTTTTTGGAGTTTACAAAATTACAGCCATTTCCGACTTTTTTGGATTTTCCGCCTTTCTAAAAAACTTGATATTTTTAAACAACGTAACAGTATCTTTAACCTTTATTTTATGCCAGTAACTCCCCTAAAGTTGCTATTTATTAACATAGATACTGCGTCCACACATTGGTGTCGGTCTGCGAGTGATTAGCGGTCATTCGCAGATTTCGGCACATTCTATCTGCTAGGTTACCCACTGAATGGGCAGGTATCACAGACAACGGCTAATGCGGGTGCGGCGCTGGAGACTTTTGCCTTCACATGCAAAGTTGGATTGTACAATAAAACTGCAGTCCACAGGCAGATGGCATATGCAATGGGAAAATTTTTTATCGTCGTTTCATTTCCGCCACTGCTGCGTGTCATTTGTTAAAGTCAGAATACATGAGTGTCCTTCGTTAGACCGTGAAAGTATGGCGTAGCCCTATGTCGTAGGCTGATGTTATTCACAATGAAAGGCGGGGACGTGAAAGTGTGGTGGAAGTTGATTCTAGCACCGCAACCCATCTCTCATCTACCTGACCTTTCGACGTCATCACGATTGACCGTTGATGTATATATCAGTACGTCGGTGGATGACGAGTGTGTAGGCTAACCACTTAAACCTCAAAGGACAGGCACTCCGTAGAGGACAGGTTGGTTGAATGGCTCTAGTGTTCTGACCAAAAATGTTCTCTGTTTCTGAAGTATGTAAGTGTGTGTGTGTGTGTGTTCGTGTTCCCTACCGATACACTACATCTACTCAAAGTCCAAAAAATTCTTGTCCCTGCCTCTGACTTCCTGGACATCTCTTGTTTAATTACAGTAGTGGTTCCAGCCGAACTAAGTAGTATGTGTGTAAGAGAAAAGGGAGGGAAATAAGCTTTATTTTTTAAGCCTCATTCCAAAGTATTCAGCAAAAACATCCTTCATTCACGTGGCCAGAATACAGATTAATAGATGATGGGTGAGTTGGTGGGCTTGCACAAAATTGTACAGTCGTTATGGAGACAGTTTGAATGTCAATTTCTGTACTTCGGTCTCTTTACACGTAAGGTATCGCGCCAAAAATGGTTAAAAATAAACCCCGATATGCCGGATATGTCTCGTTTTGCTAGAATATTACTGGGCTAGAAATCAGTGGGCTGATTTCGAAGCCGAGAATTGCGCAAACCTAATCTTAAAAAAGTTTTCCAACGCCGGTACGTCGTCAAAACATAAGCTAAAACATGCCTATCTTTTTTCAACCTCTCATGCCAGGTGTTCAGCCTGAAATCTCCAGAACCGAAATTTTTTACTGGCTACTGTTATGCGACTAACTTCGGCAAACCTGGTGTTGTCTTTCTGAGGCTTCTGGGTGACCCTGACTACACTAACAGGGAGCCTATTCACCATAGGGACTCCTGGTCAAAAAACATCAGAGATCTCATTTCAACAAAAGTGTTTTTTAACCAACCTGAAAACAAAAATTACGAATAGGCGTATATTTTTCGTCGAAAAAGTACATCTTTGCCATTTCTGGCCATTTGATTTTCCTTCTTCATTTTTTCCACTTTTACATAAAAGATATAATGATACTTAATGCTCTCAATTAACCACGTTCATTCTAGATCGTTTAGGCTACTTCATACTCCACTTATTCCCTTTAAAAAATGGCAAGAGGTAGTTTAGAAAGCGTTCTCAAATTATCGGTAGTCAGTAACTTCCGTCTTATGAGAAAAATAGTGCATTCCTTAGACAAAGTAAGTGTCATGACTACGGGTGGCAGTACGCGGGCAATCAATAATAGGGAAGCGTAATCGACAAAGTCACCCTTATTTGCCGTCACTTTACGCTTTTACCGCACCCCCGGAGCGAAAAGGCTATAAGTTCAAATCCGGACTCCTTTACCACCGAGCCATAAACGTTTTCTAGACCGAAGGGACAAACGGAACTATGCGCACGCTGTCCTGGAATTAGGGCAGACTGATCAACGACTTCCCTCCCGTACAGCATTCGTGTGATTCTGTAAGAGCTGTGTTTTGTCGAATCAATAATACCACTACTGTTCGATTTCTTCTCATAAGCGTCGAAGGGAAACCGCAAATCTCCGTACTGTCCAGTTTTTAGTAGGATTAGCACGAAATTACAATTCCGGGGGCAAAACGTCTAGACTAAAATATAACGACCCCGCAGAAATAAACTCCCCGACCAGATGGTGTATCCCGCAAACGCGGGAACGCCAGACAACACACAACCATCATTGTTCAATGCTGTTTGTAGTGCGTGCGGAAAGGGTAACAGCAGAGTCTGCCCGTCATAACACCGTCCCATAGTGATGTATGCATTCATAAGCTGTGCATTTCCTACTGGGCCCTGAATAGTGCAAGTGTTAGAGCCTGTCCGTGTGAGCCCATGCCATTATACATAAATTTCGTACCGTATCAGCGGAAGCAACTTCGCATTACTTTGTCGTGTAAGTTGCTATTTTTTTCTTTTTCTGCGGCTTTATAACGCACGCTGCCACCACTCGAATAAGTAGACTGCTAACCATCAACTGAACCACCGTAGTCCAAAGAAATGAACACGATGAAGATGCCATCTAGGGCGATAACCAAAATTCAGACGTTTACTGGGGCTGGTCATACTTCAATCCTGTCGACAAAACTGTCCGAACTGGTCAACTACTCTTTCTCTCTCCCTCTCTTATGGGGCGTAGATGCGTTTCTGCCTTCACTTACTTCTATACCAATGCAATTTTGGGCTTATTTTTCCTTGCTGTTTTGTTTTCCAGTTCTATGACGTCGCCTTGATGCTCGTACTCGACGACAAGACGCGCTCCATTGTTATTATTGTCCGAGGCACCTTGTCGGGTGACGATACGCTGACTGATCTACTCGCAGTTGGAGAACCCCTGAGAGAGGAGGATGAGAGGCTGCCGGAAGCAGAACGCTACATGGGACATGGCGGTATGGTACGAGTTGCTCGAAACGTCGTCCGAAAGATCATTTCGGAACAGTGGGTGGAGAAGGCGCGGGAGCTGCGGCCTGACTACCCGGTGGTGCTGTGTGGGCATAGTCTTGGTGCCGGTCTCGTGTCGCTCATGTCGGTGCTCCTCAAACCGGTCTATCCCGAGCTCAAGGCCTACGCATTTAGCCCGCCTGGAGGCCTGATGAAGTGAGTGAGCGCACGTTGCAATTTCTTTATTCCATGAAATATTCCCCACCTTTGGGAGTACCAGCTTTTGCGTTTGGCGGCTGATACTGCCTGCTAGAATACCGTAACAAAAAGAATGTGAAATTTGTCCCGTGTTTCATCCTTGTCTCAACGTAGATTGCGTCTTCTGGATTCTCGTAAATGAAAGTAACTAGTAAGTTTGGCGTTGAGAGCTTGTACCACCCTGAACTGCGAAAACGCAATCGCAGTTGTCGCCCAAATCAGATTTATTGTCTGTTTTTGTCCATCCCGAAGTTAGCGAATTATAGGAGTAGAAGACAGATAGCGTAGCAGAAGCTGTGACCGCCGCCATGTCTGTGAGTATGGTAAAGCAATGCATACACACAAAATACTTTCCCTACTGAAGTCTGCGTAAGCTGGGGCCTCAGATGTAGACGGCGACATTAACTGGGTGCCTCCTGACCGATACACGGTTGGGGCTGTAAAACATTCAAGAGTAAAGTATTGTCGTATGGAGCGGGAAAGTGGAGAGAAAGTGGTCTCAGGGAGGACGCGGGATGCATCGGTGTGTTTTAGCAAACATTTCTCCACACTAGACCTGTTTGTGCGGACGAACAACAGGTAAACACGGCTACATCTCAATAAATAAAACACCGATGTTGAAACAGACCACGTGATTAGGAGAAATTACGCACACGTTCAGGCTAAAGTAAGCTTGCCTTGTGAGTCAGGGAAGGGGCAGTATCAGTTAGTTTGGTCAGCAGCAGCAGCAGCAGCAGCAGCAGCAGCAGCAGCAGCAGCAGCAGCAGCAGCAGCAGCAGCAGCAGCAGCAGCAACAGCAGCAGCAGAAACGAGACATGCGACCGCCGCCAATGCGAGTCCCATGGCACCTCGAAAAAACTTGGATTCACCTGGACTAATCTTGATACTGTAGAGTGCAACTGCTGCACTGTACAAAGGACATGAATTAGGTAGGGATAAAGAGACAAACAGCAACCAGCGAAGCGGCCACAAGCGCAGTCCTGTAAGGACCCTAAACCCTCGTTTTAAGAAGCTCTGCAGCGAATCGGAAGACAGGACTGCTAACCTGAACTACATTCGGCGGGTAATTAGAGAGAGTTGTTGCCGGAGAAACTTTGCAAACTGGTGCATGCAGAAACGAGACATGCGACCACACCACACTGGCCCCCAGATTTTGGAGAGTGCTCTCGTGCGACAAGAATGTCTCGGCAGACGTCAGCCGCCTTCTGACACCCCTTGTAGTTGGGATTGCGCATAGACAAAAGACATTTGTCAGGCGTCAAGCAATGAGACCGAAAGACACGCTGCCCCGGCAGCAAATGTTTGGAGTCGTTTACCAGATCTAGTATAATTGCGAGCAAAGCAACCATATCCGAGAAACGGGGGAATTACTCCGGACGCGAATGAACGAATATGCAGCAGCAGCAGCAGGATGGTGCGGCAATCATGGCGTTCAGAGAAAGGGCAGCTCAGATTCCGGCCTACTGCTGGAGAGAGAGACGATAAATCCACATCGCTGCGTAGCAGACGTTTACTTTCCGCCTGAACTCCTATCTGTATACCAACTGACGCGGTAAAAACGTTTTGTTTATTGGAAACCTCGGAATTTGGCAACTACCTGACACATAAGTGTCTTCCATTCAGTTGCTGAGAGTTGGGGGACTTTAGTCCAAATACAGATATCACCACTATCCGAAGAAACGGATGGCGGGTTCTCTCTACTATGCAAGAGTGTTAAGTTCGGCAAGGGTGTGGCTTATGGCCGGGGTCACTTACTCCGGGGAACAATCCTGCTAAAACAAAATGACTGGCGATATTTATTTGTACTTGCCAGAAAAAGAAAAAATACCACGCGGTGGCTGTTGCGTAAGGGTGGTTAAGAAGCTTTAAGATGGTCGTCGAAGTAAACATACGACTGTGCGATACCTTTTCGACAGTGACTGCAAAGAGCCATTAAACTCATTTTCTATTATTATTAAATGATAAAAAGGTGTCCCCTTCTAATTGGTGACAGTATAGAGAATCAATATTTGTGATACCGCAAAGTTCTTAGACGTTCAACCCTTTTGCTCGACACAAATGCTCTCCTGAGTAAGTAAGCCCGGCCATAAACCATCCCCTTGCCTTCATTTCTTGGCGTACATCAGAGATTGTGCACACGTAAACACGTTTCCCCAAAAGTTACGTTAAGCTGTAGTACTAAGCGCGTAGTGCGTTTTGTTGGTGATGTTAGTAGTGCGCCCATTCGGCTGTTTTTGAAATAGGCTATAATAGACACCCAATGACTTACTTCAGAGAGAGAACCTGCTGAGCATTGCTTGCGCAATTCTCAGTTGTTTGTACAAACCAGCCAAGATCCTCAGTACGGTCGCTTGCATGCTTAAGAAGCGTGATCCACCTCGAATATCAGCATGGTGGGGAGGCCTCCTTGTGTCCTAACAAATCGCTGTCTATCGAAGCCCTCACAGATTCCACTTTGTTTTAGTGAACGGCTCTCGGAGTCGACTCGAGACTTTCTATGCTCCGTCATCTACGGTTACGACGTGGTTGGTCGACTGGGCGCCGCAACGGTGGAGGACCTTCGAGCACGTCTTTTCCATGCCCTCTGCGTCTGTAATGTGCCGAAATTTAAACTGCTTGGCAGTCGTCTGAGCATCTGCATCCTGAATATGCTCATGCCCTGCTTCAAACGCACCACTCTTGGCAAAACGGACATCTATTTAACAGAAGACATGAAGAAGAAATTGCTGGAACCTGACCTGGACGACGTTTACTCGAATCCTGATGGTAGCTTCCTCGCGCCCTACAAGGACGAAATCTATGAAGGTAGGCGTCCAATGAGGTGCCTTTTTGTGTTTTTTCCACTAACCTCAACAGCCTTTTTGTCTAATGGTACAAAGTTAAGACTTGCTATTCGAGACACACACACACGACAGTTCGACCATCGATTTCGATGATGTCCACCGTATGCCCCACAGACTGCATTGTGGGAGCAGGGACGGTGACTTACGCAGGGGTTTATAGTGCCAGTAGACTGGCGTAGCATCTACCTACACTCTCTCCTCCTCCCCCGCCTGAGCCCGGTGTCAAGGCCAAGTCAAGAAGACCGGAGACGGGGGAGGCCGCAGGTGGATAGCTCGGACGGATCCTCGCCTTGGCGCTCCACTCCGCACCCTCTGGTCCACACACAAATGACCAGGATTTTGACCACAAAACAATGGGGTGGCGGCAGTGGTCCACTTGAATGACGAATGCCGACAACAGGGTCCGCCAGCGCACCCCGCAAATGTTGGCATTTGTTATTGCGCACAGATAACGCCTGCCAGTACACGATGTGGCCCCCGTGTTGGTCCAGCGCATCTAACACGTGACCCGTTTAGAGGGCCACACACTTTACTTCGAGGCCCAGAAGACATACCGGTGAAGACAAATCTCATATCTCCTTAAGTAGACTGTAACATTAGGAGAGAGTTTGCTAATAAAATACCTTGCACAGCAGGCTGAAAGTAAGAGCGTTAGAGATGACTATTTTGACCCCCAAATATGTGAATATAAACATAGGTACTGTGACACTGGCAAGCAGAGGTTCCAGAAAGTGCACATGAATTTCGATTTTTTCATAGGCATATTTGGACCAGACTAGTAATCATAACATGTGTTTATACTTACAGGAGTCTCAAAAGTCGACAGGTTATTGCCCTCTGTACGATCCCTATTGAGTTGGAAGAAGCCTACGACAGGTCCTTTTCTTCGACTCCCCCGACCCTACCCACGAAGGCTATACCCTGAGGAACTGGAGAAGCCCGACGAAACCAACTCCACGTCCATGGATCATCTGATAAGGACCCTGCCAAAGCCTCGATCAGGCGCACGTATTCTGCACATTCTCGAAGTTGAAGGCGAATTTCAGGGGTGTCGGAGTATTCCAACGAAGTATGTCTATCAAAGATTGCATGCTATCTGTTATTCTTCGCTATTTTCGAAATTCTTGTAAGTTTCTACTGAAGACAGATTGTCAACCGTTGCAGACGCTGCTTGTAAAGAGGACGAGATACTCGTCCGCCTGCAAGTAAACCCAGCCAGGCAGAAGTTGAGTTGTCTCTGTGCACACTTCCTCACACATAATAGTCACTTATGACCAGGAGTATAATATCCATTTCTTATGTCAGGGAACTTATACACAGCAACGCGGTTGTAAGCATTTGAGATTATCTCAGCGAAAAGGATGTTCTAGAAAGTTGGAAAGCTTGCAGCTGGATGTCCAAACTGTTGCCAGTCTTCTACATTGAGGAGATGAGGAGGTGGGTACACATCGGGTTTGGGTACATTGAAGCGTTCCTTACTTCTGGAGTTGGAGGTTACTGTAAAGGCTGACAGTATTTTAGTGCTCAAAAGCAATAATAAATTTGTTGTAATGTAGATGTGAAAGATAAGTGAGCACAGTATAAACAATGACATATAAAAATCGTAATTTAATAAAAGTTTCGACTAACAATGCTGCTGTTTGTGGGGTGGATTGTCTAGACATAGATACAGAGAAAATAGCATGTTAAAATTGCGGAAAGCAGTTCACACTGTTTATAAGGTAAGGTAATTCAAGGAAAGGTCAAGGTCAAGGTACCTACACAGCCCACAACCCTGCAGTCCATAACCTGCTTGGAATCGTTGTTTTTGCTTAACCCTCGGTAATACTCCTTGCAGGTGCTGCAGCAGAGCGGCTTTCACTGATATGGCCTATGCAGGATACACACAATGTGGGGTAGTCTGGCGAAGGAAGCGTCCTTCCTAATGCCTTCTTTACTTTCACAAGTGACTTTCCGGGAAGCACAGTCATCGCGGTCTTACACCGTTTCTTGTGATCATGGGCTTTCCCCACACATATCGACCACCCAGCAAGTTGGGCATTCACAAATCTTCTGGCGACACATGACTTGTCAATAATAAACCAAAACCTTCATTTTTAACGAGTCTCAAGTTTTCCTATGTCAATGCGAGCAATACAAATAGTCACCGCCTTAACCTACTGGTTTACGCCTATAATACACGGTCTGTGGCCTCTTCTGACACGGTGTACGCTATTGCAGCCCTAACAAACAAGTATCTGGCACTTTGCATTCACAAGGTGCCAGCACAGCTGGTTGGCTCCCTCCCACCAGCATCGAAATTACACCCTTCAAAAATTTCCGCTTTCCGAAGAGCTTGGAGTTTTTTTGAAAGACTAAGGACATGATTTTCCCCAGTCATTTAAAAGCTTCTGCGTCCCTCCCCGGCACATTCTCCTCCGAGGACGAGGAGTGATTTCCTGGGCATTAACGAGCCTTCCATTTTCTCGTATCCACCATGAGAGGGAGAGCTTTGTAGATGTGATAAGTGACCAGTCGGGGAAGTCTTATTTCTGCAAGTGGTTGCATTTGGATTGGAGGTAAGTGTCCAGCTGCAAGGGATTGGGTCTCCTCCGATGGCCTCTGTGAAGATTTTACTTGGCCGAGCTCCCAAACGGGTGATACAATTCCTTCTTACAATCGTCGTAATCTGTGTGAATTAAGTTCTGTTTTTAAAACCCTCATCTGAATCACGCTGATCACATGTCTAACAAATGCTGCCTCAATCTCTACTGAGCTGCTGATTTAACTTTAGACGACTCCAGCTAAGGTCTCCATTGAGCATTCATAAATCTCGTCAATCACTCACTGAAGGACGTCCAGTTCCTGCCAGAATTTATTAGCTGCAGGAAGTTTGGAGGTAGCACCTTCACCGAAAACGGTAATTGAACGTATATCTTCTTTTGCTGCAGATCCTCCTACGTACCTCCACCAATCGCCTATTGGGCCGATCCCCGTGGATTTATGACGATTCTAGTGCACCCCAAGATGCTTAAAAACCACTCGCCAACCTTTGTAACAACTGCTATTGACCGCCTTCATGCTGCGATTAAGTGGCCGGAAAAAGTCTTTCCGAAGTTTCCCCTGGCTACTTATCGTCAGGAGGCGAAGCCGCTTTTAAATTTCAAGCGACCCAAAGAATTGCAGACCGAAAAGTACTGCAGGATTCGAAAACCAAAATTATCTACCTCCTGATTTTCGATATTTTCAGATTTCCTCTTCATGACAGGCACATCTACCTATAGTACTTTCATTATGCTATTTGTGCCTTACTTTAAAGACTGGCTT